GGGAATAGGAACGGGGAAAAATGGGAAATGGGGAAAGTGGGACCGGGGGAAATGGGAATGAGGGAAGCGGGAAAAATGGGAAAAATGGGAATGGGGAATGGGAAAGGAGAAAAGTCCAGCCCCCTTCCCCCATTCCCAGGGAATTTTGGGAATTTTTTCCCCACCTGCCATCCAGGCTCCCTCCCCCATTCCCAGGCATTTTCAGGCTCCCATTCCCATGGAATTTTTGGGATTTCTCTCCCACCCTTCCTCCTCCATTCCCAGGGATTTTTGGGACCCGGTTCCCAGGAATAGTTGTGATCTCATTCCCAGGGAATTTTGGGAATTCTCTCCCATGGAATTTTTGGGGATCCATCCCCACCTCCTGTCCAGGCTCCCTCCCCCATTCCCATGGAATTTCGGGAATTCTCTCCCAGGGAATTTTGGGAATTGTTCCCACCTCCCGTCCAGGCTCCACCCCCCAATTCCCAGGGAATTTTGGGACCCCATTCCCAGGGATTTCAGGACCCCATTTGTATGGAATTCTGAGAATTGTCTCCCACGGAATTTTTGGGAATTCTCCCCACCTGCTTTCCCCCATTCCCAGCGATATTTGGGATCCCATTCCCAGGGAATTTTTGGGAATTCTCCCCAGCTGCCATCCAGGCTCCCTTCCCCATTCCCAGGGACTTTCAGGACCCCATTCCCAGGGAATTTTGGGCTCCCATTCCCAGGAAATTTTCGGGAATCCATCCTCACCTCCCGTCCAGGCTCCATCCCCCATTCCCATGGAATTTTGGGAATTCTCTCCCAGGGAATTTCTGGGAATCCATCCCCATCTCCTGTCCAGGCTCCATCCCCCATTCCCAGGGATTTTTGGGACCCGATTCCCAGGGAATTTTGGGAATTCTCTCCCATGGAATTTTTGGGAATTCCCCCCATCTCCCATCCAGGCTCCCTCCCCCATTCCCATGGAATTTTGGGAATTCTCTCCCAGGGATTTTCGGGAATTGTTCCCACCTCCCGTCCAGGCTCCATCCCCAATTCCCAGGGAATTTCGGGAATTCTCTCCCATGGAATTTTTGGGAATTCTCCCCACCTGCCCTCCTCCATTCCCAAGGATTTTCAGGATCCCATTCCTAGGGGTTTTCAGGAATTCTCTCCCATGGAATTTTTGGGAATTCTCTCCCACCTGTCCTCCTCCATTCCCTGGGATTTTTGGGCTCCCATTCCCAGGAAATTTTCGGGAATCCATCCTCACCTCCCGTCCAGGCTCCATCCCCCATTCCCAGGGATTTTTGGGAATTCTCTCCCAGGGAATTTCTGGGAATCCATCCCCACCTCCTGTCCAGGCTCCATCCCCCATTCCCAGGGATTTTTGGGAATTCTCTCCCATGGAATTTTTGGGAATCTCTCCCCACCTCCTGTCCAGGCTCCATCCCCCATTCCCATGGAATTTCAGGAATTCTCTCCCAGGGAATTTCGGGAATTGTCCCCACCTCCCGTCCAGGCTCCATCCCCAATTCCCAGGGATTTTTGGGAATTCTCCCCAGCTGCTTTCCCCCATTCCCAGGGATTTTTGGGAATTCTCCCCAGCTGCTTTCCCCCATTCCCAGGGAATTTTGGGATCCTATTCCTAAGGAATTTTGGGAATCCATCCCCACCTCCCATCCAGGCTCCATCCCCCATTCCCAGGGAATTTTGGGCTCCCATTCCCATGGAACTTTGGGAATTCTCTCCCAACTGTCCTCCCCCATTCCCATGGAATTTTGGGAATTCTCTCCCAGGGAATTTCGGGAATTCTCTCCCATGGAATTTTGGGAATTCTCTCCCATGGAATTTCGGGAATTCTCTCCCACCTCCCGTCCAGGCTCCCTCCGGGCGAGCCCTCGGGGCTGGACGGCGCCAGCTCGGTCACGTCCGAGATGATGGGGCCGGAAATGGGGCCGGAAATG